CATCAAAATCGGTCCAGTCGTTTGAGAGAAGTTCAGTGACATACACACTCACAGAAGAATTATATATATATATATAAAGATATATAGAAAATTCTATATACTCGTAAACAATTAGAAAGCTGTCAGTTTAATTTTACGTTATATCTAATGTAATAGTAACATATCTAAAAATGAGAATATTTGTGTGTATGTTTGTTACTCTTTCACGTTTAAAAGGCTGAACATATTTAGATGACTACGAATAACACATAGGCTACATCTAGGCATCTAATTCGCTAACCTCTTAATAAATCTTACATAAAAACACTCCCTACTATTGTAAAGTGTTGGTTTGTTTGTTTTTTATTTTTAATGGGACATTATATTATAGAAAAAGAAGAGATACTACTTTTTATTCTTGTACATACATATAATTCTATCATATTATTACGTTAGAAAAATTCAATTATGTAAGCGGTCGGGGGACTCCCATCAGGAACGAAGTTCCTCACGTCTTTTCTTCAATTAGGAATGTAATCTATACATATAATAAAATTGTAACTAAGTTGAATCTGTACATTAAATATTTTTTGGAAAATCTTATTGAAATAGACATTATTATCGATACAGAGGCCGAATCTATAGTTTTTAGAATTTTTGTCTGTCTGTCTGTCTGTCTGTTACCGCATCACGGAAAAACCACTGGAGGGATTTTGTTTAAATTTAGTATGATGATAATTGGATATCCGGGTCAACATATAGGATACTTTTTACCGCGGGAAAATATCTCATTTCTGAGAAAAAATACAAAAACTGCAATGTAAGAGTATACTAATATGTAAAACCTAAGAATTTGGTTTTTGGTCATCTGAACGATATAAAATGTCTATTGGCACACTCCACGAATATAATACTTTAGCATGGGAACCCTTAGAGGCACGGATAACTTAAATGTATGTATATAAACAGTAAATAATTAACACTCAAATAACATTAAAACGTATGGAAACTGTCAATACTTTATATCATAATATAAAATTTTATAAACTTACTTTTCTAACATTGTATACACATACTTACTACAGTGTCCATTTTTTTAAATCTCCATTACAAAATTACAATAATCAGATAATGTAATTCACTTATAATAAAATTGTTAGTTATTGATAAATGATTTTATTGAAAAAACATACGAACTACGTTGGGCAGAACTGAGCGCCTCGTAACGTTTTTTCGTTATGTTACGATTTCTACCTGTCAACTCCTACCGCAAGCCGCGTTAAGGAACTTTATTCCAAAAACTAGGGCTCGACCGAAGCAAGGACGTATCACTAGTACATATCTTTATTATAGTAATGAACTAACTCATTGCTAAGTTTTATTTGAATATGAATAAATCTAATGATACAGATATATTTTATGTTCGCTGTCAGTTTCTAGTTTTTTATGATTAAAACTGAAAAAAAAATAGTTAAAAAATACATACATTAAATATATCATTTTAATCAAGCTACAGTATTATTATTTTATTACTTTATTTTGTTAAAAACGACTTTAACTTCAAATACAACTTAAATTAAGTGTAAATGTGCCAAAAAAAAAATTAACGCAATATTATACTTCTGCTTCGTCCTCGATTTAGCACAGATTACATGTAGTATCGCGCAGTGATACACCGAACTGGCACTATATTTAGAGCATTTACTTTTTTTATATTTAAAAAAAGAAATGACAACCTCTTTTCAAAGTGTAAATATGCCAAGAAGTTTTTAATGTACTTTTATCTTCTTATACGAAGGGGAAGTTAATTCAATATGTCATCAATATAGCTTTCGTTTCCGCAACTGATATTTACGAAGCACAATTATCATGATCTGCCAACCAGTCGACCTTGCGCTGGATATCCTAAACGTAATTTTCTTATAAATATTATTTAAACATAAGAGTACAACTATGTAATAGACTAGACTATTTAACTCCATTGGTCCATTGCTTTGTTCTTCTCGCCTACTCAAAAAACAAATCTATACTTAATATTATAAATTGTTTTTTGGATGTTTGTTTGTAATTGGTAAACTTAAAATTCACTTAAATGATTTAGATGAATTTTGGTATGAAGATAATTTAAGACCCTGGGTCTTCCCAGGGAATAAAGGATAGTTTTTATCCCGGAAATCATCCCTTAAGGGGTTGAAAAGAGGGATGAAAATTTGTATGGGGAATCAATCATTTGTCAAGTGAGGGATATAAAACTCATCATACCTATGTATATATCTACTAATATATAACGGTGAAAACGTACCTAGAAACGAACCCGAGCGAAGCAAGGGTCAATCGCTAGTAAATTTATAGTAATAAAACATAAAACTGTTATCATAAGCTTACATTTCTATTACACACTTCATCTAGAAATTAAAATCAAATCAAAATATACTTTTAAAAGTACTTTTGAATCGTCCATTTCACATTTTAAATATAAAAATGTGAGTATGTAAGTCCGTACGGAATCTACCACCGACTCGGAAGACAGTTAAATTTCTATCGATTAAACATCTGGCCCATTTTGTGTGAGATATTTGTCTTTAAATATTGAGATCCACTCATAATCGCAAAGATTTGTTAATACAACCCAAGAAAAATCAACCAAAATGAGAACATTCTCATGAGCTTTGTTTTTATTAGTAGTTAAAATCTTAAAAGAGACCTTCCATCTAATCTACTTAATAGTAGGGGAGCCCAAGAGGGGATTTTCTGTAGTTACTCGAGCGCGGCAGATTAACATAAAAGAGGTTACCTTGCACTCTATTGAGTACTTTCACCATAATATAAGTCTTCTATATAAAGGGGCGCGTCTAGGGAAGCCGATTAAAAATATTCTCCAAAGGAGGTTAAATAGGGGAGGAAAATTTCCCCCCCAACGTGCGTTCACCTTGTCGTGGTGGGAGGCTCAGTAGTGCCCGGCAACCCAACCGGGCGCGAAGCCAAGAAACGCACAGGGAGGTGGCCCACTTCGGTGGGCGGTGGGAGGTGGCCCTCTTCGGAGGGCGGTGTACCATGCGGGTTGCTCCTGGTACTTCTCTGATAGCAGAGTGGACCTTGGAGCAACCCCGTGGTTGTTGTGGTCTGCTTCAGCAGACCTGCCGTCGGAGCGTCGTAGTTGAATGCGTAAGTGATCCTGCGACGCCCCATTAAGACGGGGGAAGGCTTTGTTGGGTTTTAGTGGGTAGTACTGGCTTTGCCGGTGAGTCCCACACCTCGTGCGTAAATGCATTTCCCAACGTTAAAAAAAAAAGGGAGGAAAATTTGTGGTAATTCGACTTTTTTAAAACAATGCATGTGGAAGGAAGTTGGCACAAATCCATAGAGCACAGTGCTAGTTTTATGAATATGCAAATAAATACATAGCATTATCAAGTTATTAATACCACAGATTACATAAAACTATACTAAATTATCGAAAATTGATGAAATCTAAACTTCGACATTACTTCCAATATCGATAAAAAAATATTTTAACTGATATCAATTTTTTTTTCAATCACCCAACAAAAAGAAAATGTCAACTGAAAATATAAGTTTTAATAACTTAAAAATATACGCCTTTTTATAGTATCGATCATAATATTTTATCAATGTACGTGCACTGTATTTTCTAAATTTCCCTGTAATAGATGAATAAACTAATATAAACTAAATTAAAAAACATCTAAATATATAACATTACATCTTAATCTGTATTAATATTATAAATGTGAAAATAGTTGGGAATATGGATGTTTGTTACTCTTTCACGCCAGAACGGCTGAACGGATCTGGATGAAATTTGGCACAGAGATAGATTATAGCCCGAAAAAACATAAAGGTTCCTTTTTATCCCGGAAAAATATTTTGTTCCCGAGGAATGGATTTGTTTTTGTTTCTCCAGTAGTATAATTATATCAATACATTTTAATAACCCTGCATACAGAATAAGCTCTAAATAAAAAAATGAAATAACAAGATTTCCTATATATATTCCACTGGTATGTGTAAAAGTAAGATAAATTTTACCCTATCGAAGTCAAAAAAGTTTTAAAACTGCTATCAGCATAACCAAAAAACTGTAATTTATGTAGGCGCAAGCGAACAATGTAATATCATGGCTACATTTGTCTACAAGCCGTATTGTACGTGACACGACAACAAATGCGAAAGCTAAGAATAAAACTTTTTTTAAATAAACCAAGCTCGCCATTTACAGACAGACTCTTTTGGCATACAATAGTATCACAATATCTATGTCATAAAATAGCACAAAAATGGGAAAAATATTCTTTAAACATTATTAAGAGTTTAAAAGTCTAGACAGTACGACATGAACGTGATTGGGTCCATAGCGAAATTTCTTTAGCATTTTGTGCACAATTTACATAACTCTATCGTTGTGATAAAATAAGGAAATCGATGAAATTTTGCTAAACTAAAGCATTTACTATATTAATCCTCTAATTTATATATTAAATAATATAATTATAATGTATATATATAATAATATATATATATATATATATATATATATATATATATATTATATATATATATATATATATATATATATATATATATAGATATATATTATATCATAAAAAAGTTGTAATCGACATTCATATTTGTATATAAAATATTTATTGCAAACTTATAAAAACTTATATTACAAGTCAAATCCAAAAAACAAAGAAATAAAAAAAAAGCTTATTTACATTTGAACTTATTCAAAAGCCTTCCATACCATACTCGTATGTAATATATGTATACAGCATGGTTCAAGAGATGAATGACGTGCCCAGTAATGATATATTAAATCATTTCTTTATGCTTTCCATACTACCGACGGCCTTGCGTTTCCGGATCCACTGACTACATTAGTGTACGCATTTTTAAAGATCAACTTAGTCGACACGCCCTCGTATGGACGATCATATATAAGCTCCTCGCGAGATACCTCTGTACTCATTCCAAGACATCTATTTGTACTAGTAGCAATGGCAGCTAAGGTAAATATTACTTGTTTTTATCGTGTTCTATTTTATTTTAATTATTATTATTATAAATACAGATTGTGCTATAATAACAGGAATTAAGCGACTTGATGTTTATTTTAAAATTCCTGTCTGTAACCTACTATTTGGTCCATATTCTGATACAATATGATGTTAAATTTGTATTAAAATTTTATTATTTATTTCCAGTTGGTTGTAGTACTCGCCGCCGTGGTCGCCGTGGCCCACTGCTCAGTGGTGCCCGTGGTGGGAGCAGACACCGACTACTCAAGCTTTGCTTACGATGTGGCCGATCCCTACAGCGGTGACTTTAAGAGCCAAGTCGAGAGCCGATCTGGTGGCAATGTAAGGGGACAATACTCCCTGTTGGAAGCTGATGGTACTAAGCGTGTAGTGGACTACGCTGCTGATGACGTCAACGGATTCAACGCTGTAGTGCGCAAAGAGCCTGGTGTGGTTGCCACTCCTGTAGCTTCCGTCGCCGCGGTTGCCCCCGCAGTGGCCGCGCCCGCTGTGATCGCCACCCCTGCCGTAGATGCTGCTCCCGAAGTGATCGCTGCCCGTACTTACGCTGCTCCAGCTGTCTACGCTGCTTCTGCCCCCGCAGTCGTAGCCCACTCTTATGCCCCATCAGTATATGCTGCATCAGCCCCCACTGTTCTTGCTGCGCGCTCTTACCTCTCTCCATCAGTGTACGCTTCTGGTCCCCTAGTAGCCTCTCGTTCCGTTTACAGCCCCTCCCTATATACCTCAGGCCCATTAGTCGCTGCCCGTTACGCCTCCCCCTACTATGCCACATACGGAGTCCACTCCAGTCCCATCTATTGGTAAACGAAAATCCTTATAAGGACTTAGTTTTAGACCGAAACTGCCATGTAAATATATTTTTTATTTTTGTACATTTACACATGTATTAAATTAAACAACTTTTTAAACACTTCTGCATATTTTATTGAATCTAATTACTAACTCTTGTTCACCTTATTCATACATACTCATACTTGTACTCTTTGACAGTGGGAAGTGACCATACCATATATTATTTCCATTATGTGTATTATATTATGAGATTTTTATTCAAGCAAAATGTCAAGCCAGCACCTGATAACAAACTTAAGTCGTATAAACGTATATTTTAACTATACACGTCAATAGAATCATAAGTAAAATATGTATGTACTTATAAAATAAAATGCGGATATCGCAATTATAAAATCGAGTTTTAGACTCCTTATTTATTCTAATCACGCAATATTTTTGGCACTGTGGCGTATCGAACGACAAAAAATATTGCTGTACTTGCAAATTGTAATTCAATACATTCCAGTTAATTACCGTAATAAGGAAATATGTAAAATGTCAAACTAAAACATCACTACGTAAAAATATAATTAGACAAATAAAATAATGAAGTCCTTCTAACTATCTTAAATAAAACTATTTTTTCGGATTATTTCGCGGATTTATTTTGATTTTTGGTTCACAACGTTTCGAATGCTTTATAACATCCATGGTCACGGGAGAGACTGAGGTGTTACATGTCTTGAAGGTATTGTTGTTACAGACAGCCTACCCACAATTAACAAAATGAAAATTGCAAAAATTTCCTTACAATATTTTATAACTTTAAACATTTTTATAATTTTAATTAGTTTTATAATTGAAAATGGAAATGGAAATATGGAATATTATTTATTTAATTTTTGCAATTATTATTCCTTCTAACTAATTTTGGCCACAGCGGCAAATCACACTGAGACGAGCGAATTACACAGGGAATATTGTTATAGTGCACAAGTGTACCCTCTTGTCATTTTACTCCGAAACATAAAATAACAAGATTTCATATACATATTCCACTGATATGTGCAAAAGTAAGATAAATTTTACCCTATCGAAGTCAAAAAAGTTTTAAAACTGCTATCAGTACAACCAAAAAACAGTAATTTATGTAGGCGCAATGAATTACACAGGGGATACTGTTATAGTGCACAAGTGTACCCTCTTGTGATTTTACTCTGAAACACTCCGAGGCTCAAAGATGAAACACTTTTAACGTCCCAACTCCGGATTCGTTACAAGCATTTCTTTACAGAAAAACCTAATAACCAAACTTGGCTCAATCTGGCTGGACTTCTAGATCTGTACACGCTAGCCACTAGACCAACAAGGCAGACAGGCACCATATTGAGAGATATGGAACGATTATATTTTTATTTATTTATTTAGAAAAACTACACTAACAACATACATATTAAAACATTATATACATTTAGAACAGAATAATAATTAATTAATCAGATATGTATGTCTTTACAAGTGTACACAACATTCGCTATAATTACGTAATCAAAAGTATAAAATTATAATAAATCCCTAATATATAATTAACAAATAACGTTTTAGTAACAAATAACAATAATTTTGAAGTCCAGGCAATTTATTTTTTATATAAATACATACATATATCAACTATCATATATGAAAAAAATATTAGTAATCTTTGCAATAGATGCTTTAGGTATTAAATCATTAAAGAAATTCAGTCAGACAGACAGTCAATTTTAACTAAAAGATATATCGGAATGGGCAGCCTACGAACTCGATTTATTATTGGCAAAAAACCTACACTCCAATTGAGTACACCTGCATTTTGAAGTTGTTTAAAATTTTTTTTGTAAAGGCCTAAATCATGACGACTTATCTACTAAGAACAACATACGAGTATATATAACAAGTATATTAAGAAACTTCATCTATATCCCCTTAAAATATTTAAATGCTAAATAGCAATTAGAACCAAAAACAGGAAAGACTTAACGGACGCAATGTAATAAGGATTCAATATTAGTCGTTGGCCTTCAGAACATTAGCAATGTAACGTGTGAATATTTTAGTGCATTATATTGAATAGACATAAATTGATCAGATTATAATATCTGTATACATATAATCGTTGGAATATTAGATATGGACACACATACACAAAGACTGTGTCTTTGTATCTGGATGAACTATCTCCAGAATGGCTGAAAATATTTTGTTATCTTGTAGTCAACAGACGTATTGAGGGTGTTGTTACGTTCTATGAGTTCAGGGATCGGAAATTAAAGCACGTCTTGTGCACTATCGATGTTTTATTACATGAGTGACTTTTGGAGATTCACTAACACGCGCAGTATATAAACAGTTCTGGTTAAAATCAATCACTGGACACTAATTTTCACCACTAAATACACTTCCACTATAGCTCCATTGATTTTTTTCTTTACTTTTCACTTTTTCCGTACTTTTTCGAAATTCAACTGAACTCTCGACAAACTCCCGGCCTTTTTATATACATAAACAAAGAGCATTCTAGTATTCGAAAATTCAAAACCTTTCTAGTCATTTTGAATGTTTTGTTCCTCTCTCACTCTTACACACGGCAATTTATAATTAACCGTCTTTGTCTATATTCAAGTAATTTCTACGCCTCTCTCGAAATGTTTTGACAACTGTCTTAGCATGCATAAAGCATGCTCCAGACGTGGCTTTTTATTAATTATTATTTTGATGTAATGACGTTACACACTCTCCATTACGCGACAGTATATTATATGTAAAATTCCATTTTGATCACATTAGTAAATTTAAAAATGCATACATAACTAAAGATATTCTTTTCACGTACTCCTGTATCTGCGTTAGGGATTGTTAAATACGGGTGAAGCTACACGCAAAATCTAGTTTAAAACAGTCTAAATTAATAAACAATAAAAATACTCATAATACAAAATATTGCTAAATAACTCTAACTAAGGGTACTTTCATTAAGGGTTTATTAATTTAATATTAAGGGTTGGTCACAACAGAGGCAAAGATTAAGTATAATAAATAAAAAAAATAGAAATACTATCTTAAGGTATTTAAAAAAACAATAAATTAATATTTTGTATGTCATGCTATTTATTATGCTATTTATATGTTATTATGTTGATTACTAGAATACACAAAAATAAAAGGAAATTAAGAAGATTTCGGATAAAGCCTCACCGCAGATCTCATGAGAAAGCTCTTGTGAAAGGTCAATAAAAAAATCTATGAACACGGTTTTTTTTTAATTCGTTGTGTGATTGAACGTACTCCATTTTCCAAGATAGAACTGTTTACATTATTTTTCTCGTTTACAAACAATTATTAGAAACTTAATTACTAACACATTTTTAGAAACTAAATTAGTCCAGCAGTTTTTATTATAAATAAACCCTATCTATCTATCTATCTATCTCTTTTTCGGTAAAACAAAATTTGTTTTTTTTTTCTTCTTAAAAAAATGATTACTAAAATAAGCTTTCCATACAAACTCATATTTATTTATAAAAAAGATATAATAGGCATTTAAATAAAATATTTATTTTATCACATATTCCTTTTTACAATATTTACATGATAATAGCTTAAACATCACGTTTTAAACATAGTTGTAGGAAATCCCAGGATATCCGTATGTTGAGTAGACTGGTGAAGCGAAGGAATGGGCGTATGCTCCAGAAGAGTATACAGAGGGTGACACAGAGTACACTGATGGCACCGCGTATGTTTTTGCTAAAAATGGAGATGAGGCACTATAGACATTGGGAAGGATAAAGTTACGCGCAGCAACCACAGACGGAGTGGCCTCAACCAGTGAGGGTGACGCGGTAACCACAGTGGGAGTAGAGGCAACCACAGTTTTAGTAGATAAAGCTAAAGGTTCCTTGCGAACTACAGCGTTGAATCCGTTCACATCATCTGCAGTATAGTCAACAATGCGCTGGGTGCCGTCGGGGTCGACCAGGGAGTACTGTCCTCTGACAACTCCGCCGACGCGAGACTCCACTTGGCTCTTATAGTCACCTGAGATGGGATCGGCCACGTCGTAGGAAAAGCTTGAAGAGTCTTCGTCTACTTTAACGACGGGCACAGCTGAGCTATGAGCTGCAGCTACCAAAGCGGCGAGAATAACTGCGAACTAAAACGAACACATATTAAATTATTGTATTTAGCACTTTTTAAAGTCCCACTGCAGGGTACGGGTCACCCTTCAATGTGATGGAAGTCAGGCCATAGTCTTGTATATTAAATTTTTGTCACATATTAATTACTACCATTGCCCGCGGCTCCACCCGCGTTCAGATGACCAAAAACCAATTTCTTAGGTTTTACATATTAGTATACTGTTACATTGCAGTTATTGTATTCTTTCTCAAAAATGAGACATTTTCCCGCGGTAAAAAGTATCCTATAGGTTGACCCGAATAAGCAGCAGCTATCACCAAATATACCAAGTTTCATCAAAATCCCACCAGTGGTTTTTCTGTGATACGGTAACAGACAGACAGACAGACAAAAATTCTAAAAACTATAGATTCGGCATAGTTACAATTTTATTATATGTATAGATTAGTTCTTATTTAGTAGATTATTGTATAATTATTATCTAAAAATATTGAATTTATTTAAAAAATAACATGACTAAATTTTTTACCTTGGCCATTGCTGTTTCTATGAGTGAACCCTCACAAATGATATGGAATCCACAATTTGGCTGCTTATATATTGGGTTCATTGGATGCTATATTTTTAATTAGCACTGGTTGAACTTCAAAACTTTTGTAGTGATTACTTTATTGAGACATTAGTATATTTTTCCTGTAGACCAAGGACGTAATTAATATAAAAATCGCATTAGACGTTTGAATAGCTCCGTCAACTAATGAAATTATATTTTCAATACGGTTATACATTTTCCTGGTTAGTTCAGGTAGGTTAAATATTTAGTGGCTTATCTAGCTGGTGAGTCCCACTTAACCACCTGTATGTCTACTGGTGATGTGCGTAAATACATTTCCCAACATTAAAAAAAATGAACAAAGAGAGCATTGGCATATGCTATTTAGTATTCTGTTAATATTTAAACTTTACAAGTTTAATAGCGCCACTAAATAACATAATAAATAAGGGTATGTATATAGGGTAAGTGATATAATACTTTCTTAGATTTACGCGAATATTTTACATTTTAAATAAAAGTATCTTTTCGGATTTTGTCGCGGATTTATTTGTATTTTTGAAAAAAACGAAACGTCGGGAAACAAAAATACAAATAAATCCGCGACAAAATCCGAAAAGATAGTTTTATTTAGGGTAAGTGATAATTAAATTCTACTCTATTCTCTACTTTGCTATTAAATTGTCATTTCAATAGTTTAAGTATAAAATAAAAAAGATACTATAAAGCAAAAAGTATAGGTCAATATATGAATATATTACAGATGTATTTATAACTAGCATTGCGCGCGGCTCCGCCCGCGTTTAGATTACCAAAAACCAAATTCTTAGATTTTACATATAAGTATACTCTTACATTGCAGTTTTTGTATTTTTTCTCAGAAGTGAGATATTTTCCCGCGGTAAAAAGTATCCTATATGTTGACCCGGATAACCAGCTGTCATCGTACCACGGCCTCTGGATCGATAATAATGTTTATATCAATAAGATTTTCCAAAAAATATTTAATGTACTAATTCGGCTTAGTTACAATTTTATTATATGTATAGATGTGAGGACAATTACTTATTTGCATTCACATCAGATATTTCAATGCCTACTTAAAGATAGTAAAAAAAACAGCTGTTAAACTTTTGGTCGGTTCCTCTTAAATCTCGCTGGTGTTAACATAAAAATATAAAATTTGACGATAAAAATTACTCTATCTAAGTATATTTCAATAAAATATTTTAAATTAAAAGTGAAGTTAATAATATAAGCGTTCGCTCTTTGCCGCATTTATTTCTGCTATCTTTTGCCTCACTACACCAGTCACTGGGTCAAATGAGCAAGTGTTTTCAATAAATGCCAATAGATAGCGTGGTATGTATGGATTTTTATTAATGTTTTTTTAATAAAATTTAATAAAAGTAAATAAATGGAACATAAAAGTTTAATTTAAAAAAATAAATTTTTAATTTTTGTTCTAAATACAAGGAAAAATGGAACTATTGATTTTCTGAAAAAGTCATAATTTTAGAATTTTAATGATGACTTCAAAATTATTCGGTTTATGATAACGTTTGAACAGCGTATTCATACTTAGTTGTTTAGATTAATTTACGAGTTTTTTTATCCCATTAATTTATATAATATTATATAATGTACTTGAGGTTTTTCCATTTAACCACAGTTTACTAATCCATATAGACGATGACGAAGGCATCTAAAGAGAGCAATTATGCAGGAAGTACATGGTGAGAAGGAAATGATGCGATGCTTTCATTCTTACTTTAAAATAATAGTTGGAAACGGCTTAAAAATTGACAGACATACGAGTAACTGTAACCTGCGACGAGATAGCACTACAATATTAGAAACTTCGAAACAGTTCCCTATAAAAAATGGTATTTTTTGACAATCCTTGCATTTCACAGCATTTCCATTAAAATCAATGGACGCTCGCATATAATATATGGATTTTTACTGTCATTTAACTATATTTTAAACGTTTTAGTGCACAAGTATGTAAAAAACGATATATTTCGGCAGTTTCGTGTAAGCGGCAACTCTTTGCAGGAAAAAGAAAACCTCCGAATACTCGCGCATCTGTACCTGGATGGTATATTATTCCTTGGATGTGATAATGAGATACTTTGGCGCATGTATTACTGTGTCATATTTTAAAGTCATCAAGGAGTCATTCTAATCTTAATATTTTGATATTCTTATTTATTTACATTTTATGTTACGCAAAAAAGTGGATTTGTTTTTATAAGTATTACGTGGGTCCATTGATGAATATGTATATTAATTAGCGATTTTCTTCTTTTTAATTTCTTGTGGTATTTGAGGACCAAATAGTTTCTTGTACCTTTTTATATATTTCTGATATCTATTTATAAAAAAAACTCGCGAACGACGGCTGAATGGACGGCAGAATATCGTGGATTTTTGAAATTTTTATTTAAAGTTTTTTAATGTTACAAATTTCCGTCGTGGGTTTTTTTTTATTTTAAATTAAAGTTCATTACAAAATTTAGCTCTCAATAGGAACTCATATTTAAAAAAAAACATACGAATGTAGAAATTTACATAAAATATTTATTTTATCACATATTCCTTTTTACAATATTTACATGACAATAGCTTAAACGTCATATTTTAAACATAGTTGTAGGAAATCCCAGGATATCCGTATGATGAGTAGACTGGTGAAGCGAAGGAATGGGCGTATGCTCCAGAAGAGTATACAGAGGGTGACACAGAGTACACTGATGGCACCGCGTATGTTTTTGCCAGAAGTGGAGATGAGGCACTATAGACATTGGGTAGGATTAAATTACGTGCAGCAACCACAGAAGGAGTAACCGCAACCACTGAGGGTGACGCGGCAACCACAGTGGGAGTAGAAGCAACCACAGTTTTGGTTGCTAAAGCTAAAGGTTCCTTGCGAACAACAGCGTTGAATCCGTTCACATCATCTGCAGTGTAGTCAACAATACGCTGGGTGCCGTCGGGCTCGACCAGAGAGTACTGTCCTCTCACAACTCCGCCGATACGAGACTCCACTTGGCTCTTGTAGTCGCCAGAGATGGGATCGGCCACGTCGTAGGAAAAGCTTGAAGAGTCTTCGTCTACTTTAAGGACGGGCATAGCTGAGCTATGAGCTACAGCTGCCAAAGCGGCGAGAATAACTGCGAACTGAAACAATATTATCAAATTATTAATTATTTTAGTTATTTAACATTAATTATTATTTAAATACTGTATTGATTATTTTAGAAAAAAAATGCGATTTCATTATTTTACCTTGGCCATTGCTGTTTCTATGAGTAAACTCTCACAATTGATATGGAATCAAATATTTGGCTGTTTATATATTAGACTCAGCTATATTTTTAATAAGCACTGGTTGAACTTTAAAAGTTTTATACTAATTACTTTATTAAGACATTCGTAGATTGTTCCGGTAAGCTAAGAGCGTAAAACAACATTATCGTCAATATTATATAAGTTGTAGATCTATTAAAGCACATATCATATGATTTAATAGGTCTAATAAATTATAAAACATATTGTAATGTTTAATTATATTTAAAAGGTAGAAGATAAAAGCGTCTCCAAGTATGAAAACAAGACCAAAATATGTACGCGAAGTTTTCGTGCTAAAAAAAGATAGTAAAACTAGCATTGCCCGCGTTTTCGCCCGCGTTCAGGTGACCAAAAAGCAAATTCTTAGGTTTTACATATTAGTATACTCTTACAATACGGTTTTTGTATTTTTTCTCAGAAATGAGATAATTTCCCGCGGTAAAAAGTATCCTATATGTTGACCCGGATACCCAGCTATCACCATACCAAATTTCATCAAAATCCCTCCAGTGGTTTTTCTGTGATGCGGTAACAGACAGACAGACAAACAGACAGACAGACAGACAAAAATTCTAAAAATTATAGATTCGGTCTCTGTATCGATATTAATGTTTATTTCAATAAAATTTTCCAAAAAATATTTAATGCACAGATTCGGTTTAGTTACAAATTTTATTACATGTATAGATGATAATATAGTCACGATACGAGAGGATAAATCTTGCTCTGTTTAGTTGATAATTGTATAATCGATACTAATCGAGTCTAAGTTTTAGCCTTCGGGAAGCTCGGCATTAATTAAAAATTCGCTCGTTTTTATGTATGAAAGTTCAAGTATGGAATTAAGATTTGTTTACAGCATTATAGTATAATAAAAATATCTATTCCACGGGCACCGTACATTTTTTCAGGATAAAAGTAACCTATGTGCTATTCCAGACTATAATTTATCTCTGTGCCAAATTTCATCCAGATCCGTTCAGCCGTTCTGGCGTCAAAGAGTAACAAACGTCCATCTGTCCATTCTCACAAGCTTTCACATTTTTGAAGTTAGTATAGATCTCAATATAAAATATTTTGAAGAAAATAAAAATTTCATTGGATCAGATTAAAACATAAAATATGTACCATATCTAACATAATGCATTTGTTGTAATATATTTAAACATGTAAATTATATTAACTTATAACAATTTAAAACTGCAGACTAATAAAAACTACCAAAATTTAATACAGACATTTTTGACAGGCCATAAATAAGGGGAAAAAATGTGACTTCTGAGTTCGCAATTATACTAGATACTACTTTGCCCACACTGGTAATGAAAATTTTAATTATTACCGTTATTTGCCTTAATATACTTCCGGCATAATCTTATGATTAAAGTAGGTACGTATTTAAAAGATCAACCAGGTCTCATATACATATCTTATATATTTAAACGAGCAATTCTTATATATATATTATATATATATATATATATATATATATATATATATATATATATATATATATATATATATATATATATATATATATAAAAAAGAAAATTGTACTTTAGGCCAAAAACTCCGTGGGAAGTATTTTATTATAATATGTTCATCAAATGTTTATATAACTATAATAACAGGGTTATTGGTAATTCGACGTATTATTGTTAGGAGATGATAGGGGTGACTATTTGCGATAATTTTAACCCCCATATGCATTTTGTAAAAATGAACTATTTTTGAGTTATCATGTTTTTTATATTTTTTTTAAATGAGTAAAAATGCAACATCGAAAATTTATTAATCTTGCCATGTAAATATGTTTTAAAATAAATACTATTTTTAATCTAAATTTTTTTATTAAAAAAATAACGATCTATTTTTTGCGATATTTATGTTTATTTCTTATTTTTATATTTAATAAGATAGAATAATATAATAAAAAAATATAAAATTTCCATTGAAATTTAAAGAAAAATATATTTATTTCGTTTAAACCTTTTAAAAATAAGGCCTTGAAATCTGAGCTTTTTATATAAAATGTTAATTATGTGTATTTTAGTCCATATTTTAAAATATTTTTTCGTAAATACACGTACATAATTTAACAAAGTTAATTTATTGAGGTAAATTGTTTATGACACTAACAAGATTAGAGAAGAAGACAAGTAAGTATCCTTTATTACTTTAGAACCTACTTTACAAATCTTTTTTTTAACATTGGTAAATGCATTTAAGCATACTACCTGCATATATACAGGTGGTTATGTGGGACTCACTGGTTTAGGAGAAGCCAGTACTATCTACTAAAACCAATAGAATCTCCCCAGTCTTCATGTCTTATAGCGTACCTTCATGCCGAGAAGGTAGAGTTTTTAATACCACTAAAACCACTTTAGATCAAAATAAAACTTCATAACTTTAGTTAATTTCTGTTACATTACCTATACAAAAAGCTAATTATGTCTTAAAAATAAAGACTGTGAAACTTCAAACTTAATTTTCATATTATTTAAAAATAATATGAGAACTGTAAAAGATAAGTTCATTCACATAGTCCAACTGCAAAGAATTTTTAAATTATGTGATTTTAAAAGAATATCATAGCCAATAATAATATATGTAGCCATTTTCAAGATAGCAAATATTAGAATAACATCTTAAAAAATACGTTTCGATTTAAAATTTCTTTGAAAATGTTAAACTTAAATTATTCACGCAGACACTAAATTGTACACGACATAATAATTTAACAAGTAATTAATTAGTAACGTAACATACTTTGTAAGAATTATAAATTAAACAGTCAATCAGCCCAATAAATTAACCTGTGAATGACACTTATCAAATAAAAAAATAATTACAAAAAAATAAACCGACTTCAAAAAATATACTCAAAAGTAAAAAATAACTGAAGGGGGGGGGGGGGTGCTGGTTATTTATTATAAATACCTTACCAGATATTTTTGGAGTCGGTGTCAGCCGACGCAAAGCAAATCTATTTCGATAGTTACTAAATATATCACGAATTGATGTAAAATTGAACTATAATTAGAGTTCATACCAAATCATATTTACCTATTAGATAATAGATATTCATATCTTAAAGCATTGTTGTTCTTTTTTTTTTGAAGTCGGTTAACATTAATAAATTCCTAAAGATATGTATATAATAATAAATTATTTTAGCGAAACCGCGGGTTCTGCTAGTAATACTATAAATTAGTCTCAAAAATTGATTTCATAATAATAAATGTAGTTAAAAGTTTTTGATATATGTAGATTGTACACGTTTTTAATTAAAGTGTATTGATCTCTTCGTTCATTTGAATGTTTGCACGTAGTAGTATTAAATATACATATGTATATAAAATTGACTGGTTTTTCAATACTATTTTGTGGGTGAAAATACGAATTTTAGGAACTCATGTTAAGAAGAATTTGAAAAAAATACATAAAATGGGGCCGCTAGTTTACGTTTACGTCTACATGACTTTAAATTCCTTCCCAGCATTTAATTTGTCGAACTCTCTCGTAAGAATTTTGCTATAACCCTACCATTTTATATTAATAACTAGTATGCATCCTACACTCGCTTCGCTTACGCTCCAAAGTACTTTAAATCATGTTATTCTATTGTTGCTACGTAAGCATGGAACATACCAACGAACGGACTAACGATCAAACATGCTGTCACTTATAATATCAATGATGTAATCGAAGTCATTGACGCGTACCTATTTCCATATATTTACCATATAAATATAGAATTTAATTACCACAAAAATGATGATTAAACATACTAAATGTCTTTTATCAGTAAAACGTATAAAAGCTCGCTCATCAGATGAGCTTTATTTATTTGTGAAAATCTATTAATCTATAACTACAGGCAGCAATGAAGTTCCTGGTAAATATATATTTGTATCTCTTTATTTTCGTAAAAAATAGATATATAAAGGTAGAAAATCATTTGTATAAGATAAAAAAACCTACTGCTTCTCCTACTACTCTATACATCCTCTTAAATAGATGTCTTTAGTTCTTTTATTTCATTTCAACGAATTATTTTTATATTGCTATGTCAAAAACGAACTATATTTATTTAAAAAAAAGATTTATTATAATACTAGCGACTCACCCTCGCTTCACTCGGGTTCGTCCCTAGGTACGTTTTAACGATTAGTATGGAATAGATAGACTATACATATATATTTAGGTATACGATTAGGTATGATGAGTGGTTTTGGGTTGTATTATAACGTGTTTTCCCGTGGGAATGAAATAATCCCCCGCGGAAAAAGTAGCCTATTTCACTTCCCAGCCCTCCAATTATCTCCAAACAAAAAATCACGCCAGTATGTCATTCAGTTTCGATGTGAAAGAAGGACAAACAAACAAACAAACACACGTTATGTAGGGTATTCAAAACTATACATATAACGTCAGTTTTAAAGCTTTTAACAATGCTTATGCTTCTAATAATATATTTTTATATTTACTAAGTTCGATGTGAAATCCTATCAAATTTAGTGATTTTGTTTAAACAATTTCTGTATTCTTCGCAGGTCATTTTCATAGTCGCCACTTTTGTTGGTGTTTCACATAATTCAACTGTACCAGTGAAGGCAGGAGAATATACGAGCTTTTCGTATGACGTTGCTGACCCTCTAACCGGTGACTACAAAAGCCAAGTAGAGTCTCGCATAGATGGTTTTGTAAAGGGTCACTACTCTCTAATAGATGCAGATGGAAGGAAGCGAATTGTAGAATATAGTGCAGACGATAAGAACGGATTTCAGGTGAATGTACGAAAGGAACCTCGTGGTACAATATTCGTTGCTCGCTCGTTCTGAGATTTAGAATTACTTATATTTTTATAGTATAGAGATGCTTTTTTAATTTTGACTTACTCTTACTGTGAACTTTATAATATATAACTTACCTAAATAAAGAAACTGGGCATTTTGTACTGTTTTAATGAGCATTTTGTTCTGTACTCTTGATAAAAAAATATTAATTAATATTTAATAAATTATTAAAAAGAAATCGTGTTTGGTTTTACTTTGGCACATAAAATACAAGTTTTTTTATGGTGGTAATGAAATCTTGTTAGGTTTAACTTTTTTCCATAAAACTCTATTTTTTTTTACTACGCCATTACTCTTGGTTTTAGTCGAGTAAATGGATAACGTAGAAATATTTTCATGACAGTCGATTATAAGGTGTGGAAACTTATGCTCTATACAGCCATGTAGTGGTAAGTTACAGCTAAATAAATCACATAGTAATCTCCATATAAGAAAAGCTATATGTTTTTAAAGCAATAGCTCGCGCTAAAACTACAAAAACTCTAAAAAGGTAGGTTTCATACAAATTTTCATCCCCTATTTTACTCCCTTTTCGTATGAATTTTGATAAATGCTAAAACACTTATTTATTTACTTATATTTAAGACCAATAATACCAAGTTTAAGTTATTCTGATCATAAATATTTTTATGGGTTGTATTATAAAGTGTTTTCCCGTGGGAAAGAGATGATTTCCCACAGTAAAAAGTAGCCTACGTCTTTTTCCAGCCCTTGGACTATCTGCACACAAAAAATTACCCCAATCCGTGGCTCCGGTTCGACGTAAAAGAAGGACAAACAAACAAACACACTTTCACATTTATAATATTATTATGCATTTAACAGTGCAGGTACATATATTTTTATAGATTAATTATATTTGACAATTCATATTATTTTCATAATTTTAGTCTCCTATTATTAATTATTAATAATAATCACAATAATTATTATGTAACAATAATAGAATAGACTAAAAGTCAGTTATGAGTGCAAGCAGTTTTTGCATTAAAATTGTATTTTCTTATTTCATCTAATGTATAATTTGATGAATTCGTTAATTAACATTACTCTACACGCATTTTCTATATTAAATCATAAATGGGATAAAAATTATATAAAAGTATGATTTTCAATATAAATTTATTTTAAATACATATTTACAGGTATAATTACAACAATCGTCATTTAATGCAGTTGGATTACCAGTACTTGAGGGGGGCAGAGTAGGCAAGAGGAGACGCGGCTACCACAGAATGACCAGAGTACACTGAGGGAGCGACGAAAGAGCGGGCGAAGTATGGGGCTGATGCGGCGTATACGGATGGGGCATAAGATTGGGCATAGACAGCGGGGGCAGAGGCGTAGACAGTGGGGGTAGCGTATGCACGGGCAGCGACCACTGCGGGGGCAACCGCGGCGACGGAAGCTACAGGAGTGGCAACCACACCGGGCTCTTTACGCACTACGGCGTTGAATCCGTTGATGTCATCAGCAGCGTAGTCCACTACACGCTTAGTACCATCAGCCTCCAGCAGAGAGTATTGTCCCTGAACATTTCCACCAGAGCGGCTCTCGACTTGACTCTTGAAGTCGCCGCTGTAGGGGTCAGCTACTTTGTATGCGAAGTTCGTGTAGTCGGTTTCTACTGGCGCTACTGATACCACTGAGCAGTGAGCCACAGCGGCCATAGCGAGAACTATAACAAACTGTAAAAAATGGGAAGAAGTATATTAATAATAATAATATGTATTAATATATTATATGTATAAAATTTGATACGCCAATACATTACATCACAAATCTTAATACCGACTACGGCCTTTGGCTCTACAAATATTTTTTCATGATGTTTAACCAACATCTAAAAAAAAACTTAACTCCTACTTTACACAGAAGCGCGCTATGCAAGCTGTATTCATTCAGCCACTCCCAAGTAATATTAATAGGTTATTAATACAAATAGACAAATCGACCAAAATTTGGAAATGTACAGATTTGACAGTCAATGTATAAAAATACAAATTTTCCAGGAAAAGTGTGAATTTTAATGTAAAATTTTGACAGCGTTATACATATTCCCAATCAAGGACCTTCAAAAATAAATGAATTTAAAATATATTGAAAGTGAATGCAAACCTTAGCTGCCATTGCGAATGTTGTGATGGTTCGTTCAAAGAATGATGCAGACTTCACACGCTGCTAGCTTTTATACTGCTCTATATGTGATAAATCAGTTCCCGGTGAAGCGGTCACTTGACGTACTTGAAGGCGGGACGGGTTGAAAAGATTAATCGGTGGCCTATGAGATTGTGAAGTGCTAACATTCTTTTATTTGTACTTAGTACCTTATTCTTTATCTTATTATCTAACTTTAATTATGTAACATAACAATAGCAAATAATAATTTAAAATTAGCATTATAATGATTAAAAGAGCTTGTTTGTTTGAACGTGCTAATCTCAAGAACTATTAATCTGATTTGAAAAATTCTTTTTGCTTTAGATAGTCCATTTATTGAGGAAAACTATACATCTTCCCGGAAAAATTGATGGTTCCCGTGGGATAGATTTGTTTTTGTCTAGGGACGAACCAAGGGTGAGTCGCTAGTCGCTTATATAGAAACATTTTAATATTCGTTTGTATGTCTGTACATATAGGTACTCGAAATAACCTTATTCTAGAAAATTCCAGAAAAAAGCCTTGTATTAAACTGACTTGATTAAAAATAGACACGTAAAAAATAGATATATAAAGGTAGAAAATAATTTGTATAAGATAAAAAAACCTACTGCTTCTCCTACTACTCTATATATCCTCTTAAATAGATGTCTTTAGATCTTTTATTTCATTTCAACGAATTATTTTTATATTGCTATCAAAAACGAACTATATTTATTTAAAAAAAAGATTTATTATAATACTAGCGACTCACCCTCGCTTCACTCGGGTTCGTCCCTAGGTACGTTTTGACGATTAGTATGGAATAGATAGACTATACATATATATTATAGGTATGATGAGTTGTTTTGGGTTGTATTATAACGTGTTTTCTAGCCTAAAAGTAGCCTATTTCACTTCCCAGCCCTCCAATTATCTCCAAACAAAAAATCACGCCAGTATGTCACTTTGTTTCGATGTGAAAGAAGGACAAACAAACAAACAAACACACGTTATGTAGGGTATTCAAAACTATACATATAACGTCAGTTTTAAAGCTTTTAACAATGCTTATGCTTCTAATAATATATTTTTATATTTACTAAGTTCGATGTGAAATCCTATCAAATTTAGTGATTTTGTTTAAACAATTTCTGTATTCTTCGCAGGTCATTTTCATAGTCGCCACTTTTGTTGGTGTTTCACATAATTCAACTGTACCAGTGAAGGCAGGAGAATATACGAGCTTTTCGTATGACGTTGCTGACCCTCTAACCGGTGACTACAAAAGCCAAGTAGAGTCTCGCATAGATGGTTTTGTAAAGGGTCACTACTCTCTAATAGATGCAGATGGAAGGAAGCGAATTGTAGAATATAGTGCAGACGATAAGAACGGATTTCAGGTGAATGTACGAAAGGAACCTCGTGGTACAATATTCGTTGCTCGCTCGTTCTGAGATTTAGAATTACTTATATTTTTATAGTATAGAGATGCTTTTTTAATTTTGACTTACTCTTACTGTGAACTTTATAATATATAACTTACCTAAATAAAGAAACTGGGCATTTTGTACTGTTTTAATGAGCATTTTGTTCTGTACTCTTGATAAAAAAATATTAATTAATATTTAATAAATTATTAAAAAGAAATCGTGTTTGGTTTTACTTTGGCACATAAAATACAAGTTTTTTTATGGTGGTAATGAAATCTTGTTAGGTTTAACTTTTTTCCATAAAACTCTATTTTTTTTTACTACGCCATTACTCTTGGTTTTAGTCGAGTAAATGGATAACGTAGAAATATTTTCATGACAGTCGATTATAAGGTGTGGAAACTTATGCTCTATACAGCCATGTAGTGGTAAGTTACAGCTAAATAAATCACATAGTAATCTCCATATAAGAAAAGCTATATGTTTTAAAGCAATAGCTCGCGCTAAAACTACAAAAACTCTAAAAAGGTAGGTTTCATACAAATTTTCATCCCCTATTTTACTCCCTTTTCGTATGAATTTTGATAAATGCTAAAACACTTATTTATTTACTTATATTTAAGACCAATAATACCAAGTTTAAGTTATTCTGATCATAAATATTTTTATGGGTTGTATTATAAAGTGTTTTCCCGTGGGAAAGAGATGATTTCCCGCAGTAAAAAGTAGCCTACGTCTTTTTCCAGCCCTTGGACTATCTGCACACAAAAAATTACCCCAATCCGTGGCTCCGGTTCGACGTAAAAGAAGGACAAACAAACAAACACACTTTCACATTTATAATATTATTATGCATTTAACAGTGCAGGTACATATATTTTTATAGATTAATTATATTTGACAATTCATATTATTTTCATAATTTTAGTCTCCTATTATTAATTATTAATAATAATCACAATAATTATTATGTAACAATAATAGAATAGACTAAAAGTCAGTTATGAGTGCAAGCAGTTTTTGCATTAAAATTGTATTTTCTTATTTCATCTAATGTATAATTTGATGAATTCGTTAATTAACATTACTCTACACGCATTTTCTATATTAAATCATAAATGGGATAAAAATTATATAAAAGTATGATTTTCAATATAAATTTATTTTAAATACATATTTACAGGTATAATTACAACAATCGTCATTTAATGCAGTTGGATTACCAGTACTTGAGGGGGGCAGAGTAGGCAAGAGGAGACGCGGCTACCACAGAATGACCAGAGTACACTGAGGGAGCGACGAAAGAGCGGGCGAAGTATGGGGCTGATGCGGCGTATACGGATGGGGCATAAGATTGGGCATAGACAGCGGGGGCAGAGGCGTAGACAGCGGGAGCAGCGTATGCACGGGCAGCGACCACTGCAGGGGCAACCGCGGCGACGGAAGCTACAGGAGTGGCAACCACACCGGGCTCTTTGCGCACTACGGCGTTGAATCCGTTGATGTCATCAGCAGCGTAGTCTACTACACGCTTAGTACCATCAGCCTCCAGCAGAGAGTATTGTCCCTGAACATTTCCACCAGAGCGGCTCTCGACTTGACTCTTGAAGTCGCCACTGTAGGGATCAGCTACTTTGTATGCGAAGTTCGTGTAGTCTGTTTCTACTGGCGCTACTGATACCACTGAGCAGTGAGCCACAGCGGCCAAAGCGAGAACTATAACAAACTGTAAAAAATGGGAAGAAGTATATTAATAATAATAATATGTATTAATATATTATATGTATAAAATTTGATACGCCAATACATTACATCACAAATCTTAATACCGACTACGGCCTTTGGCTCTACAAATATTTTTTCATGCTGTTTAATCAACATCTAAAAAAAAACTTAACTCCTACTTTACACAGAAGCGCGCTATGCAAGCTGTATTCATTCAGCCATTACCAAGTAATATTAATAGGTTATTAATACAAATAGACAAATCGACCAAAATTTGGAAATGTACAGATTTGACAGTCATTGTATAAAAATACAAATTTTCCAGGAAAAGTGTGAATTTTAATGTAAAATTTTGACAGCGTTATACATATTCCCAATCAAGGACCTTCAAAAATAAATAAATTTAAAATATATTGAAAGTGAATGCAAACCTTAGCTGCCATTGCGAATGTTGTGATGGTTCGTTCAAAGAATGATGCAGACTTCACACGCTGCTAGCTTTTATACTGCTCTATATGTGATAAATCAGTTCCCGGTGAAGCGGTCACTTGACGTACTTGAAGGCGGGACGGGTTGAAAAGATTAATCGGTGGCCTATGAGATTGTGAAGTGCTAACATTCTTTTATTTGTACTTAGTACCTTATTCTTTATTATTATCTAACTTTATATATATATATATATATATATATATAACTATAGCAAATAATAATTGAAAATTAGCATTATAATGATTAAAAGAGCTTGTTTGTTTGAACGTGCTAATCTCAAGAACTATTAATCCGATTTGAAAAATTCTTTTTGCTTTAGATAGTCCGTTCATTGAGGAAAACTATACATCATCGCGGAAAAATTGATGGTTCCCGTGGGATAGATTTGTTTTTGTCTAGGGACGAACCAGAAGCGAAGCAAGGGTGAGTCGCTAGTCGCTTATATAG